ACTGTTCAAAGAATTGAGTGGATCAGCCGGGAAAACAAGTTGTGAACATATTATTAGGTTGACAAAAGATTTCCTCAAAATGAATGCTGTATGAATGCTGTAGAGTAGTAAGTACAGTATGAATGCTGTAGAATAGTAAGTAAATTTTAGCCAACATTAAAAAATGTTTGTATTCCTTGACACAACTTGTTGCTACTCCCTGTGCCTCCTTGAAGAAAGAAAACCTAGTCTCGGTTGAATTCAGGGTAATGTAAATCAAAATTTTTTTAAAATATGATGTACAAACTCAAAATTTCCTGGATATCAGCACATCATATTACATAAGACTCTGATATTCTTAAATTCCTTCCAGTACTTCAAAATACACATCACATTAAATTCATACATGTTAAAAAATTTTTAGCTAGCCATTTTTAGCCTAAAAAAGGAATATACTGTATACAAATCTTAAGTCACTCTAGATAATATTTCAAATATTAAATATCATTATCTTTAATTTAAGAAAATATTTATTTTAAAATTATTTAAATATCAGTTAGTTTAGTAATTTTTTTCCAGCTTAGCAATACATTCATCAGAAACCACAGGAATTATCAACAAATTTAACTAAAAAAGGTATTTATTCATTCTCTGTGTAGAATGAATGTATTAAGAGACAATAGAATTAAAAATTGCTGTAAATAACTTGAGGACATCAGATCAAAGTTGTATTTTAACAATACCATGAAAGCAAATTGGAAAAACAGTAATTTAATTTTAGCACCTTTAATTTATTTTCCCTTTCTTTGTTGAACTGACATTTTCATTTGAAACATTATATTAATTTTGTCACAGATAGTGGCATACATTACTCAAATAATTTTAATATAAATGAAATTTTCATTTAAAATTAATTTTTTTATAGTAGAGCAAGAAATCAACTATAAAACATAGATAGAGCTTTGTGTGTTTTTTCAACTTAAATTGAACAAAAAGACTACCAATACCTCTCAGAAAGTTGAATACTTTTTAGGGTTACTAAATGTATGGCTGTTGAAAATCCACAAACACCAATCATAAATCTCAGCATGAAAGCAAAAACAATTTTTTAATTGGTTTGTATTTTTTAGAGAGAATCAATCATTCCTACACCCCAATTTCCTCACTCAAATAACGACACTTTAAAGTGTTATTTGCCATGAGTTCCTTTCATACATGAAAATCTGTTCAAAAATTAGAGTTCAACTCAAAATCGGTTCAAAAATAAGTGTTGCAAAGCTGAACATTGATGATGAGCTGTTAAAGTCATGGTTTCAAGTTTTGTGAACAATAATCAAAAACAGGATACAGGTCTGATACAGGACCCTCAGTGTGACCAAGCGAAGATGCCCACAAGTAATATTAAAATTTGAACACAAGTGTTCAAAATGAATATAATAATAAATGTAACATTAGCAATTTATAAAAAGAATAATAAAATATTTTATATATTTGTGTATATTAACATAGTATCTTACAAGATATTAATGTTTAATTCATTCTACCTCTATGAACTCTAGCAAATATTTTTTGTGTTTCTAAGCAGGAATACATTAATATCTCAGGGCCTCTAAACATGTCCAAACTATGGACCCCCTATTAATATTTTCATTTAACATAAACAGAGATGCACTTAGGATTTTTCTTGGGGTGAGTCTACATAATGTCAAGCTGACTTGATGTTTTCTTATAAAGAATTTTCCATTTATGCTCAATAAAAAATGTATTTTTATTTGTTCATTTATATTTACTATTTATAATGTTAACAACTGATATGTTGAATGACTTTTGTTAAGTACAGAGAATTAGTAAAATTTATATTTTTTTAATAAGGATCACTGGTTTCTGGCAGGGGGGTCTGAAGCCCCATTTCCCAAATCCCCCTGTGTGTGACTTTGAACATATGTAATCATAATGGATATGAAAATAAACTAGTATTACCTTTGCAATTTAATAATTTAAAACTAAAATACTAATAAAATTTTATTTAAAAAAGTATTGTGAGTCCCTATGAAGGATCTATGCTGAATGCTTATACATCATATTTATTCACCCCTGCTTGTATTGAAAGAGCAATAACAACTCTCTTGTGGTTTTGTAATGCATGATGGGAAATACAGGGATATGATTAAGTTTATACTGATGGTTCGATCTGAGGATGGTTTCTCTAATGAAAATGATTGATTCTTAGACTACATCCCTCTACGGTGCTCCTCAAGGAATTTCCAAATATCAGGGTAAAGCTAATTTGATATGGAAAATTTGAACTTCGGTTATTTGCAACAGAATACAAAGAAACTTAATTTATCTTTCAGGCCAAAATCTGGTGTTGCCCCAAAAATGTTGAATGTTGAAGATGTTAGTTTAAATTGGGACAAGAAGTTTACTTTCCTCTCCAAATATAAGTTTGAGTTTGGTAACAGATTTACATATGACATGAGCAGTGAGGACAAAGAAATATCTTTATGTTGGATACTATCACTTATTGTAATTGCAGAGAATGCAATGGCAGATAAAAAAGCAAAAGAGGGAACTCAAAGTCAAGAAAGAATTGGTCATATATTAAGTTACCTGGAATACAACAAGAGGATTAAAAACAACCTAGCAGATGTCAATAGCAATGAATGCAATAAATTAAGAATCTGCAAATTATAATAATAATTGTCTGAGTAATATTTCTATCTTCTTGAACAGCTGGGGGTGGTTTAAAGCCATGTTGCCACTTACTCAGGTGGCAAACATATGGTCGTCCTGACAACAGATCTCAATGCCAGCAGCAGTAGCAAGAAGCAAATTGCAATAAGAATACACAACAGGGCAACACAGAACTGCAAAACGATGCCAAACCAATGAAGTAATGGTACTCTTTCGTTTTCAAATGCTTCATACTGTTAGATATCATTGTTTTCTTGATAAGTATTGGCAACCTATGTGACATTAACAGAATTTGAAGATTCTGATTGGATATTGGAATCCCCTCTCCCCTGACCACTGCTAGCTGTCAAGTAGGCAGGAACATTATTTGGAGCAGTCCTTTTGTTAAGCAGAGCCAGTCTTACTAATGAAATGCAAAATTGGCCTCACCAAATATACAAATGCTCATTGCACCACCATTGCAGATGCAGGGTGACAGAGTGGACTTCTTAGTTGAACATGTTTTTCATATGCTCTAAATACATTACCATCAGACTGAAATATAAGCAGAACAAGTGCTAACAGAGAGGGAATTATATAAAAAATTGATGAAGTTTTCGAAAGATATAAATTTGTAGGAAAATATACAGTATTACTTTCACAGAGTTAGTCATAGAGAAGAAATTGTATTGTAATTGTAAGCAAGTATGGAATTCAATTCATAAATGTAACAGATACTATTCATGAAATGAATTGAAATGAAAATGAGCTTCATAAATGTAATGAAATTGAGGTTATTAAGAATCCAAGAGGTTAATGCATCCTAAAATAAATGTATTATCTATGAGAAACTTGAGAATAAAATAAATAAATTTCCTCAACCAATCATACTTCATAGAAATTCATGTGAGTGTTATAGAAGTGACACAATAATTGCTGTATGTAAAGAGGCCAAAACATCTAAGTTCTTATACTATAATCTTCTTTTCTAGTTGTCTTTTTTTTTTTCAAGAACTTTTCTTCAAAAGTGTTAATAGAAGCTATTATTGTGCTTAAAGAAGTATCATAGCAGAAGAAATTTTCCTTCCTTTTCCACTTACATCTGAAAAGAGATCATTCAAATACTTTTCCAAGAAAGCCTTAATTGCAGCTTATTCAGTACAAGAAGTTGTGTCTCTTAACAAGTTTAAAACACTTCTAAATTAAGTCTGAAATATCATATAAACAAATACAATAATTTATTTAAAGTGTAAATTAATAACTAATGAACTAATATAATTAAATTACAAAAATGGATTCTCTATAACCTTTGTTGACTAGGGAGGGAGGGGTCCTGACACATATCCTTTAACTTTCTGAAAGTTTAGAAGAAAAAAAATATTAAATTAATATCCCAGATAATTCTTTAATCTCTTAATTCTAGAATTCTCAAATAATGATAAAATGTTATGCTGTAGGTCTGTTATCGTTTCTATGGTTTGATAAATGATTAGACTCTGGCATCAGGTCTCTCAAACTTAGCTTTTCCCCCAAAAATCAACATCACACATAACACAATATTTGTCTTGTTATGAATAAATGTGTCAGAGACTAAAACAAACTCTCATTCAGAACAAAAATTTAATTAACATTGTTAATTTTACTATAGTTTGTTAAAAAATGATTGTTTGGTTTCTTTAAATATTCAATTGACTTCAGCATATAGTTATCAAATCAAGAAATTCAGGAGCATTACTGTAATTTTAGGAATTCTTGTGAAAAAATAGTTTAATAAATGCAACATCAATTTTAGAGAGAGAAAGAGAAAAATATAGATACTGTTTCTCAGAAATTGACAATTTTTTAACACCAAAGTAACTTAAAATAATAGAACTATATTGAAAGGTATTAAAATTGAAGAGAGCTTGAAACTGAAAAAATTAATATAAAAATAATACTAAATGACAATAACAACAACAACAAAATTAACTTAAAATAATCCTATCGAATCATAATTTTTTTTTAGTAACTTTTAGTTCATATTTATGTCGACCTGGATGGGTAAGGTGGCTAAAAGTGTGTACAGATTCAGCGCTTCTGTCTGAAGGATCGCTGGTTTGAGTCCCGATTTCGGCATGGTCTTTTGTCCCAGGTCTCTCGTGTGTATTTATTGCTGCGGAGGGTCTTGCATTCCACTGATCCAAGATCAGAGGAGCCCACAATTGTGTTGGTGTCTAGTGTATGCTTGAATATGCATCATATTGGGAAGTAAAGGGTAACTGGCTGTTTGGAAAAGGCCCTAAAAAGAAACACCACCAACAATATTTATTCTTGTGGTGAAAGAGTTCAATAGTATTCTGTATTAGTTCAAGTATTCTGTGGTCTCATTTACAGTAAGAGGGGGAAGTGGAGGGAAAGTAACTATAATAAATCCTAGATCTACACCAGTTCTTTTTACTTATTTCTCACTTTTAATTACAGTTTTGATAATGATTTTATTGCCCATCATAAATGATGAATTTTGTTCATTACAGGTCATGTAGGGTCAAATCCAGAACATCATCTTATCATTCCACTTCATCTCTATACAAGATTTTTAACAATTATTTTTTGTTAGTAATAAAAAGTTTCATACCAAAATTATGAAATCATTATGTAGACAGTAATCTATTCTTGTAATTATGAACTCACTTCTTTTTATAGTGACTGCATCTTCATGAAGGACATATTTAATTCATGTCCAGAAATCAAATTTTTAAGACCAATTAGTCACTTTTAACTGGAATATTTGAAAAATAGTATTGTTTAGAAATTGTATTTCTTCCCAATGTTCAAAGTAATAATATTTATTATGTTTAATATACAAAAATACATACATTTCATTTGAATACAAGAGAATAATTTGAAATAACATCAATATCTGATACAGATAAGCTCAGAGTAATAAATCTATAAAATCTTTATCATAATGAGTACCTAGTTATAAAATACTTCAAGAGTACATACAAAATAAGCATCACTGTGATAATTTTATGTTAACATTATAATGAAATCTTTTAAGTTAGTATAACACAATATTTCTAACTCTTTGTTACTTCATTTCAGGTACACAGTTATAATCCGAAATCACAGCAAACTTGCACTTTTTTCACATGCTCTTCATGTTTAAAAGATTTAAAAACTGGGAGTTTAACATAAAATAATAAATTATGACTTAGATATGATTTCTTTCTGTTGATCATCAATTCTAATTTTCTTTTCATTACATGACATGTAACCATCTTCAAGTTTTCTTCTTTCAGGAGAGTTTGTATTAATTTTTCGTGGAGGCTGAAAATTTCATAGTGTGTAAAGAAACATACAAAGATTTTTAAGAACTGAATATATAAAATGTTAAACAATGAATTTACATTAAAGAAAATGGCTCTTTAACATTCAGTATAACGTAACAAAAATATACAAGGCATAAGTCACATGAAATATACACAAGAAAGGAGAAGGTAAGAACAAAGAGCAGAGACATTTCAAAACGCACCAAAATTGAGTTTCTCATAATTATAGTTTTTAAAAACACATATGGATGTTGAAGAACAATTTTCTTTTATGTTTTATGTCTAATTAGGTAAATAAATTAAGAGTAAAATTAAATACGAGTTATTTCTGGTATTACTATAAAATATTTGGTTTCTTTATCATCTGATATTTACGATAAAGGAACATAATTGAACATAATTTAGGCCTACTATTCTATGAGCAAAAACCATTTACCTCATCTTCCACTTCTGTCAAAACTTCATCAAGGATTTTAATTACATGTTCTGCATCTTCATGGGTGAAAACCATTGGAGGTTTTAGTTTCAACACATTCCTGTCTGGACCATCAGAGCTGATAAGAATAAATTCTTCTTTCATCCTATAATTGAAACATATTTTCATACATTTCAGTGTAAAAAACACTTTACATCAGCAAAATATAGAATTCTATTGAGAAGAAATGTCATAATTTACTTTTGAAATCCAGAATTTTACTTTCAGTGTTTTATAAACATTACTTTCCATTTGAATACAGAGCATATACGAATATGAAATGTTAAAAGGAATCATGACTCATTTTCTTAAGATTTTACAAACTGAAAAATACATGTGACTTATCCAATAGTTTGTATGTATCTAATAGTAGTATGTTGTTAGTAAAAAAATGAAATTATAGTGTCTTAAAGCTCTCAGACAGAATTTTAAATTTTACTTGGTTAAGAATAGTCACAGCAAGTGAAGTATCTTACAGACCAGATCCCTTTTGGCAACTAAATATTTTAGAACATCTTATTTCTCAATCAAAAGTCTCCAGAGAACGAAATAATTAGCAAAAAACAAGCACACTTGACTATGCTTTGTATATTGTACAAACTTTCTATTAGACTGAAATCAAAAGTATTCTCTTTCAGGTGCCTTTGTAATGAATTTATAGTTGGTGTACTTCACTATAGTGACCCCCAAAATTATCATATTCTATTGGGGTGTATTTCATTATCCTCGTCATTGATACCCTTGGTTTGAGAACATTGGCCCTGAACCAGTGTGAAAAAGCAATAGTACTCCTACACATAAAGAAGTGTTCTTACTGGTGTCATTGTCTTTTCAGTCTCCAAACATTCTGTCCCATTTGTCTATTTGTCTCTTCTTGTCTGTAGTTTAATTCCATTCATGGTAGATGCTATTTGTCCATTCTTTTCATATGCCTTTTCCATTTCCTCTGAGATTCTTCTGCTAGGTTATCAGTTTTCAGTTCTCTTCTAATTTTCTCATTTCAAATTTTGTCTATACTTTATCCCTGTAATTGATCTTAAAATCTTCATCTGAGCTACTTCCACACTTCTGTTTCCCTTTGTGCCAACAACCACATTTTCAAAACATACCAGTATTTTAAATTTTTGGTACAATGTAATGAAATCTCTCTTCTTCTTTTTTTTCTATTGAGTAAAGTGTCTCTTTATTATTCCAATATTTTTATGTTTATATTTTTTACCATTTCCTTTTGTTCTAACACAATTATATTTTTGAGTTATCCTGGTATTAACTGCATATTAGTGACTAAATTCTCCGGTACTGTTTTTTCTCTAAATTTTGTGTATCATTGAATGTGTTAAGGTGTATTTTTCCTGTTTTATTCAATTTGCTCACTTTTTTGTGTTTATTGAAAGATTTGATGATGAATAAGCCTTGTTTGAGGCTATTATCAGAGGTAAGACTATACCAGGTTTAGTGGAAATTTTCTCATGATCAATACCTTAGATGAACTTTGTATATTTCACTGTATGAGATAACTTTCTTGTGCAGAGAACATTAATGATATTTGGCAACAGATATAAAATTCTTCTGATCTTTTGGAACTTAACCCTAATTTGCTGACTTAAGACTTTTCTTGGGCAGATTGAGCCACCATGACTTGAAATAAACATCCTCACTCTGAAGCGTTTCTAAACCAAGTTTGATGTCTTCTGGTTGAGTAAATCCACAAATTGGTCCTCTATTCATCATAGTTCAATCTATCATACTTGTCCATTAGCCTCAAGAATTAAATTTTAAGAGAAAACATATCCTAGAGAATGACTTCTTTTAACTTCAAACTTTTAACCCTCATTTTTTCTCAGAATTTAGATTCAAATCATGACCTTTTCTATCATAAAATAACTTGTTTGTTATTTTTGCCAATAATTTGTTTGCCAAAAATAAGAAATCATACAAACACAAAAATTGAAAAAATTGGACATAATATCTTTTAAAAATTTACCATTTCATGCACACAGTATTATTTAAATGTAACCTTGAGAATTAATTGATCAAAATAAAACGTGCATCATTAAATTAAACAATTTGCAGATTCTGGTTTCATTTACATTCATAGCATATAACGTCTTGCTTGCACAAATGAGATGCTCTTTTTCTCCAATGAAGACATCACGAACAAATTATTTTTATTAAATCAGATGTTAATTACCTTGTAATAATATGTTGTGCCTCAGCAGTGGCGGGTGTACGAGATTCACGGTCTTTTACCAATTCAATACCAACAAAGAGACCCACACCTCTCACATCACCAATGAGTGTATGTTTAGTGGCTAGCTGTCGAGCAAGATTCAAAAGATGGTTTCCCACTCTGGTTGCATGGTCTCGCAGCTTTTCCTTTTCCAAGACATCAATCACTGCATTGGCAATGGCACATGATACAGGATTTCCACCATACTAAAATAATTCAAAACAAATCAATATTTTTATACAAGAAAATAGCTTTGAAAATAAAAAAAAAATCCAGAGTACATACTGTATTGAAATACTCCATTCCTGTATTTCTGAAACTTCGGGCTATTTCAGGAGTGGTGATAACAGCAGCAACAGGATATCCATTACCCATAGGTTTTCCAACAGTCACTATATCTGGAATAACGTCGTCTCCCTGAAGCTGAAAGGCCCACCAAGCCTTACCAACTCTCCCAAAACCAACTTGAACTTCATCTGCTATGCAGACTCCTCCTGCCTCCCGAACATACCTGCAAATATATTTTCATAAGAGTGGTCATATATGTAGAGCTTTGATGATCAAAACTTGAAAAATCCAGAACACTCACTTGTAAACATTGCGAAAATAATTTGGTGGAGTTATAATTTGACCACCACAACTTTGCAAACTTTCAGCAATAAAAGCACAAATGGAGCGTCCATCCTCTCTAGCTTTTTTGCAAATATTCTTCACTTCATCAGCATACTTTTTACCAAGGTCTTGATTAGGATAATCAACATCTCGAAACTTTCCTCTGTATACATCAGGACATGGAGCCTGAAATTTTATTTTAAGATATAATTTTAATTAATTTCTGTGTGAAAGAAATTGTAATAAAAAATTTGTCAAGCCTATAGTTTTTAATTTAGAATACACTTTTAAACAACAAAAATAACTTTTTTAACAATATTTGTAAATTATATTTTTTTTATTTTTTAAATTGTAATCATACATTCTTTTCACTATGAATTTCATCTGAATTTTCAGAAATTTTGAATACTAACCACATGAACCCATTCAGGTTTACCACTGCCCCCTGGATGATTAAATTTATATGGTGAGATGTCAATCAGTGTGGTAAGATGCCCATGGTAGGCACTGGAACAATTTGCATGGAAATCCCTTACCACGCTCAGCATTCACGAACAGACAGGAAGAAAACAAAGGAACAGCAGAAAGTACAAATAGACAAATATAGAATTATGACAATTATTTGCCCTAAGTTAAAAATCTCATAAAAACTAAAAAGCAAAGAAAAGATTGAAGAGCAGAATGAAGTCATCCCCCATCAGGACACAGTCTTCTCCTCTTCCAGCTGCAATAGAGAAAACAAAAAAAGAAAAGCATTAGTATCAGGGCTGAAAGATCTGAAATTAATTTCAAAATACACATCACATAATCATACTGTATTTCAGTGCCTCCATGGATTGGAATCCATCAGAAGACCATGAACCCATCAGGTAGAACATGAAAAACAGCTGAAAACCCTTTGCAGTTATTTTACATCTATCTAGGCATTAATTGTAGGAATTCCCTTCATGTTCCAAACAAATAGGACTTTTCTTGTAATTGAAAACTCAAGACCCATACAATCTTATTTCAAAATGTTTATGAAAATATTGCACTAGATTGTAAGTCCTTACAATGAATTTATACATTAATCATTACTTACTGGTCTAATGTGATCACATCATGATTCTTGGTGTGAGCTCGAGCAAGACGCATAGCCAGATCATTTGCTTCAGAGCCTGAGTTGACAAGAAAGCACACAGACAAAGGCTCAGGCATTAATCCAGACAATTTTTTTGCACAGACCACCAAATTGTCATGAAGGAATCTGTTATTGGTGTTCAACAAAGCAAGTTGATCACTCCCAGCTTTCACAACATCTGGATGGCAATGTCCCACTGTAAAGAGAATATCAGTCTTTAATTACCTATGTCAGGAAAAAAAAACCTTAGAACTCAGTGCGTTTTCAATTATTTTGAAATATCTTTTTTTCTTTAATTACTTAGTTGCATTAAAATAGTTGAATTTATCAGTTGTAGATCATCATTGAGCTCTTATTTTACAAAAAAGGGTTGAAATTGCCTCTTAAAAATGTAAATAATATTACATTTGAAAATATTACATTCTTTTTTGAGCACAAAACAAACAAGAAAATTCATTATAGCAACAATGAATGAAAAGACTGATAGATATGATAAAAATATGTTTGAGAAAACAGTACTATTGGGAAAAGTATGAATATTGAAAACCGAAGTCTATTGATTGTGTGAAATTGTTGTCACTATGTAAAATCTATGAAAGTGGAAAATGCCACTCCTGAGAAAAGTTCATTAAGGGGCCATCCATAAATTATGTAGTAAAACTAAAGAGGAAGAGGGAGTTTGAGGCAGCATTACGCCGTGTTACATAATGGTATGGGGGAGTTAGTTTAGTATTATGTAAGACTGTTTTTGTTTTTTTTTCAAAATTTACTGAAGTAATTTTTATTAGTCAACCTCATACCAAGATATTAAATTATTAAGAAATAAAAATTTAAAAATATAAATAAATTAAAAAGTTATTATGAATAATTTGTTACAATAAGTGGAAATATTTTTTCATCATTGGTCTATATTGATTTTTTTTGTTTTTTTTGTTTTTGTTTTTTTGTTTTTTTGTTGTTTTTTTGTTTGTTTGTTTTTCATATGAAGAGAATATTTAAAACTGATTGATAGGATATTCCAGCTTCGAATTAAATGGGCGCAGTTGACTCTCACATATGGTTCATCCAAAGCGACGTGTGCACAGCTTGTCATAAATTTTCTCGCTGATACGTCCGTTCTTCCTTCTTTAAAAATGTATCCCCAGTCTTATTGTTTGGTGCACAGTATCGCCAATTCTGACTTTTATTATCCAAATTTATTGCATCATAAAATAAAAACAAATCGTTTTTACTGTTTGATAATTTATTTTTATTTATTGTAAATGGAGGTGTTGTCGTAACCATTACATAATTATATAGGGGTTTAAGCATGAGTTATAGGTGTGATAGAGAGGGGAAAGGGGTATTCAAAATACTCCAAATTTGCGTTACATTAATTTATGGATGCTCTCTTAAGAGCTAGATTTTTTCATACTAATCGAAACTCTCAAGGAGAAAGTTGCACATCAATTGATTTCTTCAATGTAACAATCTAATGCAATCAATGTAATCAACAATATGCTAATTTCCACTTGAAAATATCGATTTTCCAGATACAATCGAAAATTGAAATGTGTACTTCTCAAAAAATTGTCTTTCAACTTCGTGGTTTTGACGTGGTGCAGGCGATATACGTATCGTATTAATGAAAAACGTGATTGATTTACTTTCTTTCTTACTGGTCGAACTGTGATAAATTTTTATGATTGAATTTTTAGGCAGAAAAGTCAAAGAGTAAAGACAAAATAGAAAATGAGAGAGAAAATATTTCAAGGGTAGATGCAAATAAACAAAAGGCTAAATCAGTGATTAATTTTTTAAGAAAAATGAAGAAAAGAAAACTGTTACAATGGAAGTGGATGATGGAAGCTAAAAAGAACGAAAGGAGGGGAAAGGAAGCAAAGAAGAATATTAAATAGTAGTTGATATCTTTTAGCAACTTCGTTAGAAGCGCGAACACGGTAGCAGAACATACACGAGTGAAGGCCGCGGGGACTAGGTCTAGGATACGTCTAAATGCAAGTGCACGCCGTTCGAGGCCACGTTCCAGAAACCCGCAATCAGTTGACCTCAGAGGTACGAAGCGATCCAAGCGAGGGTCGGGCAAATTAAATTCCTTTTGCTCTTCACTGTACCATGCCAACGACTCATTCTAAAACGTATTTCGTTATTGACAGATCCCTACTACTATTTTGTCCGGCTGATTGCAGATCACAGTACTTGATTAAGTGAAGACTGCGTCTCGTAATGAATTTATCTATTTGAAAAGAATCCTGTTTTCTTTTTTAGATAAGTTGCCGTCTATTTAAGCGCTTTTCTCCCACATTCATAAGACTTCAATGAACATTTTCATTAGATTTATGTAATTTTATTTACCGACTTCGCGAAAAAGAGATAATATACTTTTTTTGTATTTGTTCAGCCATAAATTCAAAATTTCTAAATATTTATGTAATGGACTGAATATTATTTAATTAAGTTTATAAAATGTCATGTCATAACGCGCTGAATGTAACAAATTCGAAATTAAATCGTTGACTATATATTTGCAAGTAACAAGGCATTCGCAAGTAAAATTCGCAAATGTCAGATAGGGCTGAGTGGAATGGTGGTGTAATCCCACACCTCAAAAAAAAAAAGTTACACACCATTTTTTATTTAAAAACGTGAACTATCTTTGTACCACTTTTCCTCTACAAAGTTAAGAATGAAGTAACTATTTGTTTCTCTTTTCAGCTCCTTCTAATCATATATACGTAACTTTAACTTTTTTCCCCTTAAAATGTTACTTCGATCACTATTGCACTAACCCCTTGAAACACTGTTACAAATGTAAAAATTAAATAATTAAAAATACAAAGTACTTTCACTTTGCACTTAATTTGTAATTTTTGGCAAATATCAACCATTGTTTGCAAAAAATGAAAATGCAAATATCATTCATTAACGAAAAGAAAAAATAATTTTAATTATTGGAAAAAGCTGGTTAAAGAGTTGATAACTGTAGTACAAGTGATGATTTTTACAACTACGAAAACACTTTTTTAATTTAAAAAAATCTTTAGTCAACGAGGCAACATTAGGTATGGTACGTAAACATTCAGATATATTAATAATTGTCAAATATACTAATGTGTCCTTCCGTTTGTCATCACTGTAAATTTTAAAATGTATTCATATGTTACATTTTTATCAGAATTTAACAGATATATATATATAAATAAAACATTTTATTACGTGAGACTTACGTGGGGTTACTTTTCAAATTTGCGAGGGACCGAGGTCTCCTATCCCCTCTACATACGCCTATGAAAATGAATATTCTCCAATACATCTGACTGCTGATCCGATTGATCGCAATACGTATAAAAGGCATAAATGGCTCGAGTTCGAAACCAATAAATACGTAATAAATGCTACATTAAATTCACATTAAAAAGTAAGCACTCGTAACAAGAGGAACGAACAAAAAACCTCTCGGCATTATCACTGAAAGCAAAGGTTTACGACGTCAAAAAAATGCTCGAAGAAAATTGCATAACGTGATTACATGAACCACCTCTTCACAGATTACCATGAAGGTGAAGATTGAATCATTCCACGCTTACTGCACTTGACTTTTTCTCGTCGCTTTCTGATCCAGCTTGTCAAGAGCGAAACCTCCAATTTGGGCAACGCTGCCCATTTAGGTGACATTACTCATAATTAGCTCCGTAATCTCGCGGTCGGATTACGGGTCGTGCCCAAGAGAAAGGCAACGATCGAAGACACGCCGTACTTTCTATTCTAATAAAGACCGGTCGCGGAATCGCGCCCAATTACGCGGAGAAACCGAACTTCGCGAGCTGGCGCTTGCAGACTTCGCGGCGCGGCGCGGCGTGGAGAGGTGGCGGTGGCGGCTCGCTTTCGCGAGACTGCTCGCTCGGCTCCCGAATACACGGGAGAAGTACAACCCAACACTGGCTGCGGTAGTGACCAAAGGGACCATCAAAACGTATGTACGCAAAATTAAAGCCCCCCCCCCATTATAAAAACTTGTAGGTTACTGAGATGATTGTTTGCCCTGACATGGGTTACCCCAAACGTTTACCCCCTGAGATGAATGCTCCATTTCGATCCACCTCTCACTTTCTGAGTTTAACGAGAAAGTGAATTCGTAAAAAATTGGGTGAAATTTCTTAAAGATGTTAAAGCCATCTTGCAAAATACATTTTTTGATACATTTTAACATTAGAAACGTTCGTTTCTAACTTGAAGTTAAGAAAATGTAATTATATACAAAATGTTACAAAATTGATAATTTTTCATCAATATCCATTCCTTCATATTATAAACATTCGTTTCTAATTTGAAGTTGAGAAAATAAAATTATCTCAAGAAAGTTACGGAATTGTTAATTTTTCATCAATCCCACTCCCCCGCTTGCTCGCTTTTGGCACAATCGCGGGAACCCCCTCATCCTAAAAGTGAATGTATTTTCTTAATGTCCCCAGACAGACCTAGACAGGCCAGGAAGCGTGGATCTGGGATTATTTCTCAATCCCGATTCATTTAAATTTAAAAATATACAAATAAAATTGTAGTAACTACCTGTGATATCAAAATAACTTCCATTTTGTAATAGCATATTCAAGTTCTTGTTGGCATAATACAAAAAACAATTCGATTGTTTTTTATGATTTTTGTCTGTTGATACGTCAGTATGTCTTTACATGTCCGTTTGTTTGGACTAATCTCAGGGAGGCTAAAACAGATTTCGATGGGATTTTAACTCGATATTAACACAGTATTCTGATGGCTCCTTTTTTCAAATTATTATTTTATATTGTAAAAAGAACTATCTGATTACCCGTCGATGTCCGGGTTTTTCTTTAGCACTAACATCTATTAAGCAGTCCCGATCCGGACCGTAATACCCCCCCCCTCTCGTGCCATACAGGTACCCCTTCAGTTCCGTTCCTCCCACTCATACCGGGAAAGCTGGCTCAGGGTATCCACTGACGTCACGGCAGTGTCTCTGACGGGAGGTCCTGGGGTTGAGTCCCGACGGTGGCAGGATTTTTAACATCAACTAGATAGATTGGTCGAGTTCAGTCGCAGTCTGGAGGAGAATTCTAGCGACCGTCTGCTCTGATCGGTAGTTTTTCGTGGTTTCAGCGATCAATGCCAGGTGAGAGCAGTACTCTAATGCCGCAGCAGTACCCTAACAAACGGGTA